AGCAGGGCTGGGACTGTGGGGCTGCTCAGGTGACGTTACGGGGTAGGAGTGAGGGGAGTGGGGCAGATGCTGGAGGTTGAAGGAGGCTGGGACCCGGGCACGGATTGCTGGGACAGTGAGCATGGCAACAGCGCGGGAGGGTCCTGCTGCCGTGAGAGGAGAGGGGGTTCCCTCGGAAGGAGCTGAGGACAGGCTCTGCTGGGGCAAAGGAGCAGGTCAGGCAGTGGAGAGACTTGAGCCTTGTGCAAATGATTCCCCTGCTGCTGGTGTATGGAGACAGATCTGCCCTGCAGGCTGCAAAGGTGGGGAGAGCGGGGCTGTGCTGTGATGGCTGTGAACATGAAATGGTTAAAATAGCTTCTGACAGCAGAAAGGGTGAAAGCATTGTTGTGACCTCACAACTGTCCCTTATGCCGCACAGTGACCAGTCCTAGTTGGCATAATTTGTTCTCCTCCTCAGAACTATCCCCTCTACATCCGGAGCGTTCCAACTGAAAATGAGCTGAAGTTCCACTACACTGTACACACCTCCCTCGACGTGGTGGATGAAAAGATCTCTGCGATGGGCAAGGCTCTTGTAGATCAGAGGGAACTGTACCTGGGGCTCCTCTACCCCACTGAAGACTACAAGGTGTATCTTTCCAAAGCCTTTTGCCATGCTGTTACATATTTATAGGCTCTGTCTTGCGAGGGGCTCCGTGTGGGAAACCTCTCTTCCTACTCCGCGCCGTGTTAAAGACGTAGCAGAAAATACCAAGAGTATGAAGGTATCTCTGATCAAGTACCTAAATCCCAAGTGTGTGGTCTGATTTCTCTAAAACCCATACGCCAGGGCCACAACAGATGTTTTTAAGTCACGAGGTTGCTCTTTTGAACCTTCTTTGGCTTTTTCTCCCAATCCCCCAGAAGGAAGCTATCAGCAGACCTGATTTTTGGGTTTCCATAAACTGGTGAAGCCTCGCTTCAGTCACTCTGGCTGTCATTAGAAGATCTCTACGTCTCTGCAGTCTCCTAAATGAGACTAAACAAGGTGGCTGCGTCATTAAAATGGTTCTTAAGGGACAACCTCTCACCGAAGGAGCGAGCTTGAGTTATCAAAGAGGCAGCAGTCAGGTAGACGGGGGATACATTTCTTGTGATCTAGTGTCTTGCTTACCTCATCTAGTCCTACTTACCTGTTGGGCACAGCAAGGACGTCGTGTTTCCTCTCAGCTTCTTTCTTGTGAGCATGTTCTAGCCTCGTTTTAGTTGCTTTGCCAGACTCTGAAGCACTTGCCTTAACAGCTGCCCAGATACGGCTATGTGACGAATTCGAAGGTGAAGTTTGTCATGGTGGTGGATTCTTCGAACACAGCTCTTCGAGACAACGAGATCCGCAGCGTAAGTGCCGGAAATAGGAGCGCAACTTGCCACATCAGTGTTTTTCCTACTTCCGCTTATTCATAAAGTGCTGAGAAGCAATAAGTTAAAAGAAACAAATAACTAAACTACAATCCCTTTTCAGATGTTCCGAAAACTGCATAATTCATACACGGACATAATGTGTAACCCTTTTTATAACCCGGGCGACCGTATCCATTCCAGGTAAGAGGGCCGACCATACTAATTCTTGTGTCATTTTTCTGGAATTTGGGGTGTCCCTGAGATGCAGCAGGACCAAGAGCATAACCCCCAGGTTTGGCCAGCTCAGCTGTGCGTGCACCAGCTGCCTAAATGGAGACCAGCTGTGTTGTCTTTGGGCCGTGACAGTGTAACAGAAAACTGAGAGTCTCCTGAGAAGTTACTCTGAACTCTCACTCCCAGCTCAGAACTGGTGTTAAAAACATCAAATCAAGAAAAATTCATTTAGTGGGGAAAAATTTGCATGTTTCCTGGGTAAATGTGAAAATAAACGTAGGTAAGCAGAGCAGGTTAAAGAGTGAACAACTGCACTTGTCCAGGGCTCATCCTTGGGTAAGGAGAGATGGGAATTCACTGTAATTGCTCACATGGGAGAGCCGGTGCTGCCCTTTTCTCATCTATGATCTCACTGGGAATTTTAATAACTTTAGGAGTTGCTGTTGCTCAGGCAAGAGCAACTTCTTTCACAGTTTGCTGAGGCAGGTCTACAGCCAGGACAAGACTTGTCTTTCAATTAAAACTCATGATTTGCTCAAACGAGCATACTAAAGAGTAGAACCAGCGCCAGCTTAGGGAAAACCAGCTCATTAGGCTGGTTTTGTTGCAAGAGATCTGCTGTGCAGAACTAGCTGGTTCCTTTAACAGTCTGTGTTCCTTTCCTTCTCTAGGGCTTTTGATAATATGGTGAACTCCATGATGATGCAGGTGTGCTGAAAACCCTGCCCCTTCTCGTCTCAGCCTTGAGAACATTCCCCGTGTAAAGGAGCCTGCCAGCAGAGTGGTGTATATAGCGTCTTAAGTCCATGTAGTAGTTTAAATTTATTCTGTGTAAAATAAACTCGATGCCTGCAAGGTTTGCATGCATTTCTCCTCTTGGCAAACTTGAGTGTTGCAGAGAAGCTGCCACCCGAGAGCTAGTTCTTCCTTCGGGAAGGTCAGCCGAGTCAGATAGGAGGTTTGTTCCCTGCAGAAATGTGTGGAGCTGTGCCTCTGTGCAACTCAAGCACAGCTGCACAAGAGATAGCAAGAGATTATCATTATTGTCACCCTAAATTTCAGTCAGCTGAGGTGCACAGAGCACAACGCTGCTCCTCGGGAGCACTGGGGCCTCAGAGCACTTCCTCTGAAGCAGGAGCAGCAACAGCAGTCCTTTTGCTCTTTGCCAGCCCCCCTTCTCAGCTGCACAGGACTGTTCAGACAGGAACAGCACAAGCAGCGCTTAATTCAAACGTGCTTGGGCTCCTTGTCCTGCTTTTCCTTAGCTGGGAGCACTCAGATCTGTACTTACTCTGTTATTTCTTGGAAAGAGACTCTGCAAGTTGGCTGAAGGCTCCAGGTTTCTTGCAAGTCTCCAAGCACCACCTTCAACCTGGAGCCCTGCACTCACCTTGCTGGGGAAAGAGCTTTGGGTGACTCACGTGTGACAATACTTGCTGTGATCACTTTGCACCTGGTTCAGGCAGGCTGGGCACACTTGGCAGCTATTTCTAGCTCAGGTGAGGGAACACCGGTAGCACAGCCAGGATAAGCCCCCACCAGGAGATTTAAGACATCAGGCTCACACAGCTGCCTGACTCAACCCAAACTAATCTCTGTTAGCATCTCCCCCTAACCCTGCAGCTCCCTGCTGTACTAATTAAAGACTACAAAAATCAATAATCAGTATTTATATATTAAAAAAAGAAACCATACAGACTAGCCTAGAAAAGCATCCCCGCCTCTTGCTCACTTGCACTACACAAGGCAAGTTCAGCAGAGGTTATGCAGGCACAGACTGCTCTGAATCTTTCCTGCCCCACAGGCAGAATTCTGTGCTTCAAGCACCTAATCAGTTAAAAAAAAAAATACATAAAACAGCGTAAAATAATAATAATAAAAGAAATCACTGCACAGTTCCAAAGGACACAAGCAGCCTGGAGAAAGCCAGCTCAGTGTAGAGCATGAGCTCCCAGCCAGCAGAGTCTCACAACAGATGAAGTTCACACAGCAGGATCATTTATTTTAAAAATAAGTAACATTTACAACACCTTCTCAAACTTAAATACATTTAATCAAAAACAAGCTGGCAAATAGTGGGAGATGGAAGCATTCAAACCTCTCCCACCATCTAAACAAGGCACAGCCATACGCTGCTATTCCGAAACATTTTCACATAAAAGTCTTCACTCTTTTCACTCAAAAAGACAAGAGCTCAGCATTTCCCCTTCCACAAGACAATCCAAACATGCCAAACTAGTTCTTGTTAAAAAGCAAGTCTCGAGAATTTACAAAGTTACTACTACATGGGAAGTTTAAAGTCCTAAAAAACCCAACCAGTTTTACAATCTAAGCCTAAGAGTAGCTTGGATCAAGCAGCACAGTCCACGCTGGGCAACATGCAAAATCAACACAACATAAAGAGTTCAGGCCCCAAGCTTTAAAAAAAAAATCTTGATATTTTAAGGGAAAAAAAAATACATATATATCAGTGGGATTTTTAGCCTGGCAATGCCCCGAGCCCTGAAAAGCTGCTTTAAGCAGTGGTTGCATCTGTTGCATCTGGGTTAGAGGAATCCTACCCAAGGATCCTGAAAGATTAGCGTGAGAATTACATAATAAAACGGATGTCAATGCAGAAGTTCACACAGTAACACAGTCTCCTGGCATCCTCAGCCTGCCTCTTTTAACATAAAGCTTTTTTTTACTTTTAAAAACGAGCGGATCAAGAACTCGTACGCACAATATCGGCAGGAAGGGGAAGTGCCAGGCAGTGTCCGTTCCCTGGTACCAGCTCCCATGGAGCAGTCCGGGCCTGACCCTCCAGTTCAACTGGGCTCTCACCATCCCCAAATGGGGAGCTGGAGCGGGAATGGTGACAGGAGTAAAGTGGAAGATCAGACCAAATTGGGTGCGGTGGAAATGATTCTGCAATACTGCTACTGCTAGAAATCAAGTAAAATGATGAGTTTGATCCCTACAACTTCAGAATAAAAGGAGGAGGGGGAAGGGTTGTGTGACACCCAGGTCTTGTTTAACCACTGCAGAGATAGAGACACTTCCAGAGAAACAGCAAGGGATGCTTTTTTCCCCTCTCTTACATGTACAACAGCAGCAGTGAGTTAAAAACCAGACCCAAAACAGCTTAGTAGGCTCCATCCTGTCCCTAAAAGCAAGGTCAGAAATCCGCAAGGCCACTGAAGGAAAAACTCTCCAGCAAACAGATCTAAAGCTGCAACCCAAGATGGTTTAGAGATGAAAACCAGTCTTTGGCAAGGTCTTCAGCATCTTCTTACAGGTGAGAGAAAGCAGCATCCAGCTCTTGCAGAACCTTCTGGCAAAGCTGAGGGTGCTCCAAACGCAGAACAGGCTGGTCTGCCCTCCCAGCGGGGTGCAGGGCATTCGGGTGCTTGGAACCCAAACCAAACCCTCCAGTACAGCCCTTTTCTATGGGATGAGGGTGAGACCAATGGTCTGGGAGAGCTCTTCCCAGGACAGAGTGTTCTCTGGAACAAGACCATTCTTGAGGGAAACGCGATGCCTTAGTGAAAGCCAAGGTGAGCCCCTCCTGGGACGCTGGCGGGAATCCGGCCGATGCACGGGTGGAGCGGATCCAGTCTTCCCTCCCGCAGCCCAGCACGTGGCTGCCTCACCAGTAATCCTCACGGTCAAGCAGATGGCATTTTTAAAATTAATCTTTTTTGGCATGGGTAGGCATATTTTTAAATCTCTCCAATCCCATCTCCTCATTTCAGTCTCGTCAGCATCACCAGGGCAGTCCAGTCCTTTCTAGTACGGAAAATACCAAGGCAGCAGCCTTGCCCGACCCCTAGATAAGAACAAAAACAGCTTCCTAAGCACTAGGGCATTGCTCAGCTGAGATGTCAGCTGTGACAAAAAGAAACTACCTGCTCCTTCACCCCTCCGAGAGCTGGGATTCACCCTTCTGCCCCAGCTAACCTAGGCTGAACCCCAAAAAAAAAACAAAGAAGCCCCAAAGCCAGGTGCAGGTCTGGGATAGATCAGGCTGGGAGTGCAATGCCCATGCCCTCAAAACCCTGCAGGGACAGGGGAACAGCAGTGGGCGAGAGGTGTAAAGCCAAGAAACTGAGCACAGCCAGAGCAAGAGGCAACTAGCCCCACCCTGGTGACACCTTGCTCCCCAGAGGTCTTGACCCAAATAGACAAGAAAAGCCCCTGCTCCACCACTCACCTGTACGTCCTCCCTCGCACCCTGGGGTGCTGCCCTCCATAGTAGCCTCCTCGCTGGGCCAGCCCTCCCCGGGCGTGGAAGCGGCCCCGGTAGCCCCCACGGTCGGTGGTGCTGATGCCTGGCATGTTGGTCCTCTTGGGAAGTACCTGGAAGGCCAGGGGTGGGCTCAGCTGGCCCTGCCAGCACCGGGGTTTGGCACAGCCCCATGCACGTGAGCTGGGAGGGATGGGTGCAGCCCCCCAGGGCCTCACCCAACTCTTACTTTAATGACACGGCCTCTGAACATGCTCTCGTCCAGCTCCACCGCAGCCTTCACAGAGCTCTTCTCCTCGAACTCAATGTAGGCGTACCTGCAAGGGGACAGAGTGAGCAGAGCCCGAGGGACACCCCACTGATCCTAAAGGCTGAGGAGCACGGGGCAGCACCCTCGAGACCCCAACCCACAGTACTGACCCTTTAGGATGCCCCGAGAACTTGTCACAGAGGATGGTCACTCTGTTGATCTGCCCACAGCTGTTGAAGTGAGACTCCAGCTCTTCTGCCGTACCCCCATAATCCACCTGCAAAGACAGTCCTGGCCTCTCCAGCACCACCAGCCAGCCTCCCCATCCCCGGTTCGTGGGTCTGCACTCACACACCATCACAGGGAACAAAGGCAGACCCCACTCACACCTTGCCACCAGAGCTTCACCACCTCCTGAGCTTCAGGAGATCCTTCCAAGTGAATGCTCCAACCTGGAAACCCAAATCCAACAGACAGCTCCTCCTGCTTGAGGGATACAAGCGGCACCACACAACTCACAGCTTCCATTGGGTATTTTGAGGAGCTAACAGTTGCAACAGATGATCTGTAAGTGGCAGGGGATCATGGGCAGATTCTGAGACACATTCCTAAGCTGGGCTGGGCAGAGGAGGAGCATTTGGGGTGGTACCAGCCAGGTTTTGGGGGAGGATGACAGATGGGTCCCCAGGCTAGGGATCTGAGACATCCATCCAGCTGGGCAAGGAGCAACAAGGTGGGCTCCAGGGTCTCCCACTTACATTGCCCACATAGATGGATCGCTGGTCAACCTCTATCTTCTCCTCAGTTGTCTTTGGGAAGAGACCTGCAGAGATAAGGGGTCATGCTGGATGGAATCACAGGAGCCCTCTACCAGAGGGACACCTGTCCATGCAGGTCTGCTCCCAGCATGGCCACCACCAAGCACTGCAAAGCTCCTCAGGTCTCTGGTCGTGTTTGTGCATATCCAAATCCCCACACAGCTGCCCTCTCCTCCATCTCCTTGTCCCCTCTCTCTCTTCACAAAAAAAAACCTGAAAACAACCGAAAACAAGCCACCAAACCCACAGAGTGACTGCCCTACTGGGGCAGGTGGTGCTAAACTCAGTCATGTAACTGAAATTTAACTGATGCACTGCATCTTGGCCTACAAGAGTAGGAGATAAGAGTAGGTAGAACCTGCACTAGCACCATGCCATGCCTGATCTCTTTCCCACCTTGTGTCCAGTCCCAGGCTGCCAGGAGAGGCAGAGCCACATGCCCAGGCTCCAGTTGCCACCCTGTGCCCCAGAGGTATCCTGTGGAGGGGGAGCAGCACCCAGGGACAGCCCATACCTGACTCTGAGCTCATAATGAGGCGGCTCTCAGCTTCGAGCTGCAACTCCTTCAGCCTCTCATCCTCTTTCTCCATCTCCCGCACTTTGGCTTTGATGGCCTCCAGCTCCTGAAAGCCAAACCAAGACTTGTGTGAGCAGGACACTGAGGAGGGACACCCCCACCCTGGGCCAGGAGGCTGCAGCACTGCACAGCATGCACCTCCACCAGCAGTGGGACAAGGCTGAATGCAAAAAAAAAAAAAACAACTAAAACCAAAAACCAGGTAAATATTTCCTTTTCTGTTCTCGCTTGTAAAGCAGCATGTGCTGCAGCAGAGGTGTCCCAGAAGCATCAGAGCTGCTGGAGGGAACTGGTGATGAAGAGGAGTCATTTACTTTCAGCCAGACAAACAACAGTGAAACCTAAGCAGCAGAAGAGCAACAACTCAAGAGCTTCTCAGCTCTGGGATTTTAACATCAGGGGCCCAAGATTATTCTTAAATTTTTGGAAGTGCTTGAAGAGAGGTGTAGAAAGCATCCCATTTCCTTAGAGAAACAAGGAAAATTGATTCCACACTCAGCCAGGCACTCACTGGGTCTGGCACAGCCAGCTCCTCTGCGCTGTCCCCCTCCAGACGGTTCAGGTCCAAGTCATCATCTGCAGCCTTCCGCAGAGCTGCTATTTCTGCAGCGTCCCAGGACTCCTCCACTGCTGCCATGGATGATGGGTCCTGCCACCAGATGCCTGAAGTGTCCAAGAAGAGAGGACTGGGCGAGAACAGGAGCAAAAAGACATTTAACAATGAAAGAGCCATTTAAGATAGCACCTAAAGCAGAACACCAGTCAGGCAAAGGCTTGAAGGGTGCTTCCAGCAGACAGATAAGCAGGTGCTGCCAAAGCAGTTTGCCTTCAGTGCTGCAGGCAGGCTTGCAAGAACTGCAGGAGTCAGGGCTACTGAAAGGTCTCCGCTTTATACTGAGCCACTTCCAGAGGGGACCTTGAAGCAGCTTCCCCGATTGAAAAAAAACACACCACAGGTGTAAGTATTACAGCATGCTGGCAGGGAAAGGGAGGCAAGAATAAGCAGAGCTCCCAGGCTGTACAGAGGAAGCAACGAGGAGCCTTATGT